CGAGCCGTGGCAGCGGGGAAGGAGGCCCCGAACTCCCTTGCGAACCCCTTTTTGATAATGTACAGCGGAGTTACACAGCTCACGTAGCCGCTCCTGGTCCTGCGATGAGCAGCAAACAACAGAGCGATGCCCTTGAAAGAGGAGTTTTTCCAAGCTGGAGCAGCTGGTGACTTTGACGCGGGGGGATACTGTATGGCACTGACCCCACTGTGTTTCTGCCTCTGTTTTCTAGTCCCTTATATTCCTTGTTCGTGACTGGAGCTTCCCGTATGAATTTTCCTATGGATCCGATGGTGGCGCAAGATTTTTGGAGAAGCGGCTGAAGGTGCGTTCGTTCTCACCTGGGTTCGTTTAGTGAGCAGTGCTCGCCTGGGCGTACGCTCGTGGGCGATGGAGAACGAAGAGGCAAATCTGGCTTGTGTCCCAGGGAGGATACGCTGCCGTCCCTGGGCGGATGGAGAGTGCACGGGGCACGAGGGTGAGACCTTGATCTGGGGGACAGCCGGTGCTGGCGAGTGTAATCCTGGGCAGGGAGCAGGGTGCAGAGCGGTGAGGGTTCAGCTGGATGGCCACAGCGCTGGCTGTTAGGTGTGAAGTGCAGTGTACGGAGATGCTGGTTATGGTCACGCTTATCCGGTGCCTTGAAATCACGGAAGAGGCGTTTTAGGAGGCTGAATTTCCTTGCCACGTTCAATGGAGGGCTGAGGCCGCCTGTGCCAGGCTTCTGCTCAAGCCCAGGCTCCCTGGGGCTCTCTCGCTGGGAGCAGCAGGGAGAGGCGTTAGAGATGGGAGTCAGCAGATTCCCGAGAGACCAGGAATTTTAGTTTTTAGAATTTTCAGTTTTCGTAATAGGTAGTTGTACAGTAAAACCGATGGGCAAGGGCTCCGCTGGGATTAATCAGGAAATGCATGGGTGATTTGGTAGTGGAGAGACCTAATTAAAGGGGAGACAAGAAAGGCCCTAGTGGGAAATCCCAAATGCTTTTGTATTCCAGTCATACACGGACACGTACATTTTCCAAATGATAATAACATGCCCTAGGGCATGTGGTCAGAGATACGCTAGTTCCTTGGTCGCTGGAGGAGCCTTGTCTTTGTCCTCATGTGGCGTACCGCTATGGGATGTCCTTCTGGCTCGCTCTTCCTGCTGTAAGCAGCCACAGCGCGGAGTACCCCGTGCTCCTGGCTCGGCGTTAACCCGTGTCCCCATCGGAAGGAAACCCCCTGACCCAAACTGGTCTCTCGCAGGTCTCAGGAAATCAGCATGAAGAGCTGCAGAACGTCAGAAAGCACATCCATTCCATCTCCTGCTTCCTCTTACCTCACCCGGGCCTGAAAGTCGCCACCAACCCTAATTTCGATGGAAAACTGAAAGGTACGAAGGGAAAGGTCTGGTTTTTAAGCGGATACCTTAGATGCCCTGGCAGACTGTCCCGCTGGTTCCTGAAACCTTGATAAGTGTTTTCCATGAAAAAACATCCAGGAGAGGAGCTGGATCCTCCTCCCAATGACATACATGTGCTCGGCTCATTCTTCCAAGCCCAGCAGCTGCCTGTTCATTGCCAGATGCTTTTAACCTAAGGCAGAGGTGGAGGCTGAAAACGAAAAGGTGTGGGAGGCCGAAAATGTGTGGGAGGCCAAGGCGGATGTGGAGACCAAGACAGAGATGGAGGCCAGAAAGGTGTGGGAGGCCAAAAAAGTGTGGGAGACAGAAAAGGCGTGAGAGATGAAGACAAAGGTAGAGGCTGAAAAGGTGTGGGAAGCCAAAAAGGTGTGGGACGCCCAGATGGAGGTGGAGGCCAAAAAGGTTTGGGAGGTGCAGACAGAGGTGGTGGCTGAGAAGGTGTGGGAGGTGCAGAGGTGGAGGCCAAAAAGGTGTGGGAGGTCAAAAAGGTGTGGGAGGCCAAAATGTTGTGGGAGCCCAGGACAGAGGTGGAGGCCAAAAAGGTGTGGGAGGTGCAGACAGAGGTGGAGGCTGAAAAGGTATGGGAGATGCAGAGATGGAGGCCAAAAAGGTGTGGGAGGCCAAAAAGATGTGGGAGCCCAGGACAGAGGTGGAGGCCAAAAAGGTTTGGGAGGTGCAGACAGAGGTGGAGGCTGAAAAGGTATGGGAGGTGCAGAGGTGGAGGCCAAAAAGGTGTGGGAGGCCAAAAAGGTGTGGGAGCCCAAAATGTGGGAGCCCAGGACAGAGGTGGAGGCCGCAAAGCTGTGGGAGGCCCAGACAGAGGTGGAGGCCAAAAAGGTGTGGGAGACTGAAAAGGTGTGGGAGGCCAAAAAGGTGTGGGACGCCAAGACAGATGTGGAAGCCGAAAAGGTGTGGGAAGCCCGGGCAGAGAGGGAGGCCAAAAAGGTATAGGAAACACAGAGAGAGAGGGGGGTGTAGGCAGAGTTGGGGGCTGAAAAGGTGTGGGAGACTGAAAAGGTGTGGGAGGCCAAAAAAGTGTGGGAACCCAGGACAGAGGTGGAGACCAAGACAAAGATGGAGGCTGAAAAGGTGTGGGAGACCAAAAAGGTGTGGGAGACCAAAAAGGTGTGGGAAACCCAGGACAGAGGTGGAGGCTGAGACAGAGATGGAGGCCAGAAAGGTGTGGGAGGCCAAAAAAAGCGTGGGAGACAGAAAAAGCGTGGGAGATGAAGGCAAAGGTGGAGGCTGAAAAGGTTTGGGAGGCGCAGACAGAGGTGGGGGCTGAAAAGGTATGGGAGGTGCAGGGGTGGAGGCCAAAAGGGTGTGGAAGGCCCAGGCAGAAGTTAAGGCCGAAAAGGTGTGGGGAGGCCACAAAGGTCTCAGAGCCGCTGGCCATGTGTGCTGTCGGGACAGATGGCTGATAGGCAACCGGGGAAGGGCAGGGCTGAGACGGGAAGTTTATGGACACGGTGTTAAGCCTGTAATTAACTAATTACACCTCGCGATTCGGCACAGATGCAGAGCAGCGCAGGCTGGTTGCTGGAAGGCAGGCTGGTGCTTGTGGAGGGTGGAAGGCCAGTTACACGTGCTCTCAAGGGAACATTGGTTCACTTTGAAAAGCTTTCCAAGGAATGTTTATTCTTCCTGACTTATCTGATCAGTGGTTTCCCTAAAACTTAGTTCAACAGGTGAAAAAAAAAAAGGGAAGGAAAAAAAGCCATGGTAAGATTCTCCACCCTCAAAGGAGCTGCATGCGGTGGATTTTTTTAGTTCTTTGTTGTGAACCAGCTGCTGATCAGCATCGCTGGTTACAGGCAGCTTGCAATCTTAGCAATAGAGAAAGTGGCCTATTAGTCACTTAAAATAGATTAGCAGACAGAAAGATGTTACTTTTTCTCTGGTTTTGTCTGGCTAGCGATCAGACTTGTTCTTCTGGCATACTCCCTGCTAACCAGCAAGCAGGCAGCGAGGCAGCCGGCGGGGAGGCGTGCTGGTGGAAACTGAGCTGATCTCTGTTAGTCCCCACCTTGATTTCGGGTGCTGAGTAGTACTGAACAAGTGGTGCGTGCTGAACCCGCACAGGAGTTGGCAGCGGCTTCTCAACACTGTTTTTCTTGTTCCCTCAGAGCTGTACTCAGCTTTTTGTGCTCTGATGGAAGAAATGTGGGGAAACTTCCCCTCTCTCCTTACCTTCCAAATGCCTGGATGTTGCATTGTTTTTTCTGTTTCCGGCCTTGTACGGTTTAATTTAAATGGCAATAAATGGATGTCAGACACTATGAAGCCCTAAGAATGACTGTTAGGAGAGGAGTCTGCCTCTGTCGAAGCGACACAAGCAGCCCATGGACCCCTCAAACAGTGCCCTGTGCCAGCTCCATGCTTTGGCAAAGGGGACAGGCTGGTAGGAGCAGAGAGTGTGCCCGTTCCTGGTACCTGCACCGAGAGGTGTCTGATGGTGCAATGTAAGTGCACAGTCGCTCGCAGGAGCCTGTAGTGTACCTGTACCAAGCGCCTAATGGTTTGCAAAAGCTTTAAAATGCTTTGCAATGAGAATTGTGCATATGGGTTCATAGAGGACCAAAAACTTGGCACAGAAAAATCTTGCCTGCTGGCACAGGAGGTGGCAGGGATGAGAGCCAGGGAGCCTAAGCCCTGGCAGAAGATTTCCGCTATGGGTGCCATGAGCAGAGCACAGGGAAGGCACAGCATGTGTCCGTGCCCTGTACATTAAAGGTCATGATTTGCAAAGAGTCTGTGGGTCCAGGCAAGAAGATGCTGCTCTCTGGCTATCAGCGTTGCGTGCACATTACCAGCATCATCAGCAAAAGCAGGGTTTTTTTTTCCCCATGCAGTCACATTTGTGTTTGTGCAAGTATTTTTGAGACCATGAAGCTGGTTTGTGGATATATGCCCAGCTGTATATTCTGTCCGTGGGTTAAGTAACAACTTAACTGGGACCATGATCATTTCTGAGCGCTCACATCACTAAATTATAGGGTGTCTGAATCTCTGGCGTGACTCTCCTGCTCTCGTTTCGTGTGAGTGCACACCGAAGTGCAAGTCTGATGTCAGGCTGGTACTGATGACATTGGGTTTTGTTTCCAGAAATAGACGATGAGTTCATCAAGAACTTGAAGATTTTGATTCCTTGGCTTCTTAGTCCTGAGAGCCTGGATGTTAAGGAGATTAATGGAAACCATATCACCTGTCGAGGCCTTGTGGAATATTTTAAGGTATTGGCTTATTTAAGAGAAAGTGGGCTTACGCATGTGTGCCACGCTTGCAGTTTTGCTGTAATTAAAGGGGAAAGCAGCAGCAGGCAGGCCAGCACTTGATGGCTGGAGGAAATGCTCTTGGTCTAGGTAATGGTCCTGACTCTCATGGCTGCGGAAAGCGAACACCTCATGGTTGCACATTTGACCACGCAGTAAGCCCAAGAAGCGGGCAGGGCTGTTTTCCTCCTCTGGAGAACTGAGGACCAGGGGGAGGTAGGCTGAGGGCCATATTCCTCTTGCCTTTGGAAAAAGCTTATTTTTGTTGTCATGACTACAACATGGGACATTTTAATGCAAGACATCAGTGAGTAATTCTCACCACCTACTCTCCAGGGCTACCTGACTCTGGCTCCTTCTCCTTCACTGAAGGACGGAGGTAGAGATACTTAGTGTAAGTGGTGGAGCGAGAGCCTTGAGTGACTGACCCAGGCCACCCAAGGAGTTGACCTTGAGCCATGCTACATAGCATTTCCTGACAGAGCATCCCCTGCTGAAGCCATCTTGTGCCAGGAACGTCCTCCTCTTCTGTGCTTTTCACATCCTGTTAAAGCTGTGTCTGCAACTGGGTGGGGTGGTTTGCGCGTTGCTCACGAATGCCATATTCCATGTGATTTCAGTTTCTGTGCACTGTTTTGCAGGCATACATCAAGATCTACCAAGGGGAAGAATTGCCACACCCAAAGTCAATGCTGCAGGTACGTGAGCATGAGCTGGTGGGCATTCACGCGCTGTAATTACTGTTGATTTCCACTTAATTGTCAGAGGTGGCCAGCTAGTGCAGCACATTGGGTCTTCTGTGATTTTTATTTCAAATGCCTGCGTGCAACAACCCACAAAACAGCCCTTTTGGAAGTATTTGGCAGCCACGAGTCTGCTACAGCTTAGCAATTCCGGCAGCACAGCTCGTGCACTTTGGCTGGACTGTGGTGACTCGCTGTCTGCGCACACAGCGTCAGCCAGCTTAGCTGAAATTATTTCCCCGCAGGTAAACAGCATCGTCTTTGGCTGCGGTGGGGCCGCACACGGAGGTGACGTGGCCCCGCACACGGGCAGTGGCTGCTGGGCTGCAGCTCTGCTCTCTGAGCCAGACGGCTTTGCGGGAGGTTGCAGCTGTAGCTGTTTACATATGACTGAGCCTTTTATCTATTTTCTTGCTGTTTCCCACAGCCAAAGCCTTTTCAAGTTTTCCTTGTTCTGGCTTGGAGGGTAGGAATCCTCTCGTCATGCAGACTTTTGCCTGGGGGGACTGAGGAGACTGGATCTATAAATACAGAATGATCTTATTTGGCATTGGTCAGAGGCTGGGGAGAGTACACTTGGCTAAGACCAGGGAACTGTTTAATTCCATACGTGTGCACCAGGGTACCGTGCACGTGTCCTGGCCGCATACATGTGTGGACCATGGGTACCCAGGCGGCCAGTGGCTGCTGCTCTCTGCAATTACACTTCTTAACCCTGTCTTTCTGCAGCTAAACTTTGTGCCCTTTTTGCAGGCCACCGCGGAAGCCAACAATTTAGCAGCAGTTGCCACTGCCAAAGACACTTACAGCAGGAGAATGGAAGAGGTAGGTGGTGCTGAGCATGTCGCTTCCCAGCGCTCGTTGTCTCCTGGCTCTCCTGTCCTTGTGGGGAAACCTCCCTGCCTGGGTTCCTGGTAGAAAACGTCCTGCATGGATTTGGTCAGGACTGGTTGCAGTGCTGCACGTTCCGGGTCCCAAAAAGGGTCTCTCCTATGTTCATGGTGGAAAAGGGGATTTATCACAGGCTGGAGGAGGGCAATGCCCAGTCAGGGTATCGTGGCAGGGCAGGGGAGGGTGACTGACAAATGGTCACTCTTTCATCCCATGGCAGCTTTTTGCAGACCGCGTGGCCTCTGCCGAATTTGCATCCTCTTCCCAGCGTCTCCCAGCATGGGTAGATGCAACCCAAAAATGTGATGTAGTGGGGCGGCAGCGCTGCGTGACCATGCAACCCGTGCTATGGCTGGCGCTAATTAGGGGGTAAAGTCATTATAATTGGCTTTTCACCCATGCCCTGCCCGTCAGCCCATCTCTCAGCTCTGCTGAGGGGACGGTTGTGATGTTTTAAGGTGAAGCTCAGAGCTCAGCCTGTCTCCAGCCACTTCCAGGCCCCCACTCTGTTCATCAGTATTGGAGATCGCTGCCTGTTGGCAGGAAAAAGGTATGGAGCTGCGTGGCCAAACCGCCTGTGGACTGCCCTGGGCCTTAAAACTAATGTGTCCGTGCTCTGAAGCAGAAGGAAAAAGCCGTGGAGTTCCCAGCACCAGAAAATGCTGGGGTTCAGGGTCCTGCCGGTCAGCGTAGCTCAGCTGTCAGTGTTGCCCGAGATCCTGGCTTGGGCTGTGAGCAAATAGAGTAAGGAAGCTGTGGGACGCAGTTTCCCACTGCAGACACCCACTGCCCCGTTTAACCCGCACCTTGCAGAGCTGTCCCAGGTGGACAGCACAGTCGTGGAGGTCTTCCCGCAGAATCTAGTGGTCCGTGCCAAACGGGAGCCTGGAGAGCCCTAATTCCGGTGGTTTGCACGGCAGAGCACGGGAGCTGTGGGTGCTGAGGTTTCTGGAGTGATTGGACTGTGTTTTGCACGCAGGTCTGTGGTGGGGACAAGCCCTTCCTTGCACCTAGTGACCTCCAGACCAAACACATGGAGCTGAAGGAGGAGGCTGTGAAGCTGTTTCGTGGGGTGAAGAAGATGGGTGGGGAGGAGTTCAGCCGTCGCTACCTCCAGCAGCTGGAGAACGAGATAGATGAGCTCTACATCCAGTACATCAAGCACAACGACAGCAAGAACATCTTCCATGCCGCCCGCACCCCCGCCACGCTCTTTGTGGTCATCTTCATCACTTACGTGATAGCTGGAGTGACCGGCTTCATTGGCTTGGACATCATAGCCAGTCTGTGCAACATGATCATGGGCTTGACACTTATCACACTGTGTACCTGGGCATATATCAGATACTCTGGGGAGTACAGAGAACTGGGCGCAGTAATAGACCAAGTGGCCGCAGCGTTATGGGACCAGGTAGGATAAAGAGCTTTTGATTTCAAACAAACAAACAAAAAAAACCCCACCAAGTTCTGAAGTGCTGAGTTTCCTGGGGCTTTTCCCCCTGCTTTGAAATGGCTTTTGCATTTAGGGTTGTTAGATGCTCCGGCTGAGCCTGCCTGGGCAGATCCAGCTGCTCGAGCTGGTCGTGCTGTGATCAGGGAGAGAAAGACCTGTGCCCTGTCTTCTTCAGATGGTGGGACATCGAGTTTAGGCCCTTCCTTAGACCTTCTAGATGGGGAAAGCAGGGACAGGGGAAGTGTTTTCAGATCAGTTTGTGGAGTTGATTGTACGGGGGAGACGTCTTAGGGATGGGAGATGGGCCTGGGCAGGGCTGCTCCGTGGCTGTAGCACAGGCAGCGTTCGAGGTGGGTTGGAGAGGAGTGAGCAGCGAGGCTGGGGCTGCGTACGAACCCGCGCCTTCCCCTGCTCGTGCCCGAGCCTCTGAATCCTGCCCGGTGTGAAGGACAGGCCCTGTAGATCCAGGTTGGGGATGAGAAAACTCACAGCAAGCTATTTTGTTCTGCCTTTTTTTGTTTTTCCTTCTTGTCGTACCCATCACCAGATGCTGGCTTGTGGAGCCTCAGACCTTGCAGGAACGGGGCAGCTTCACCTTGGGTCCCGCCGGGGAGGCGTTCTCGGAGCTGGTGTGCGTGGGGCTTGTGTGCATGGCTGTGCGTGGGGCTTGTGTGCATGGCTGTGCGTGTCAAAAAGAACAGCCCCGTCTCTCTCTCCTGGTTCAGGGCAGGGATTTTGCCTCTCCCCTGGTCTGCCGGAGACGGTGGCCAGGTCTTGGCTCTGCCAGTTTTGGCACAGGGCCCTGCTTTCCCATTGCAGCCGTGGCTGCGCTGGGTCAGTTGGGCTCACTTGCTCTTTTTTGATTTCTTTGGTGGTTTTTTTTTTTTCCCCAAACAACATGGGAAGGTCTTGGTTGGGCCCCCCTGTGTCAAGCAGAACGCCTTGAAATCTTAAAAATGGTCACAGTGAGAAATCACCTCCCTGCCCCACACACCCCTGCCTTGCTTGCGCGCTTTCCGTCGGTCACCGTTGCAGTGCCCGGCCCCGGCAAGGTTATCTCGCAGCCCATGGCCGTAGTATTTTTAACACTTGGGCCTTCCTGTTTCCCCTTCTGCAGCAGCCCTTTCCTCTCCCCATCGCAGAGCTGCCAGGGAAAGCCCGGAGCCTGCAGGCTCCCACTGCCCCGCTTCACCCCGGCCAGGGGAGCAGCCCACCGGAACACAGCTGCAGCCGCGGGCCCATGTGCCGAAATAACATTTAAGGGTCTGCGATGGTTTCATGCTCTTCCCGTGGCAGGGCTGGGGTGAGCTCATTGTTTGCTCGGCCCGCAGAAGCCGCCAGCGCAGGCGTGGGTTTTGTTTCTGTAGTGCTCCGAGGGGGAAAGGGCCGTTCACAACATTTTTACCCGCTCCTTCCCTGCTTTTTATCCACCGGCAAGTTTTTGATCAAGAGTGACCACGTTTGCCTGCTTCCCGTTGCTGCGCAGAGAGCTGCAGCTGGAGCCAAACATGCAGCTTTGAGGGAGGGAAAAAAAAAGAAGCCTTTATTATTCAGTTCCTTCATCCCAGAGCTGGGGAGCGGTGTTGCTCAGCCGGGCCACCTTTAAAATAAGGCAGCTTGAGAGCAAGAGCATCCCATTGCCTGCGTCCCAGCTGGGCTGCCCTGGCCTCAGCAGCCGGGGCACCCACAGTAAACCCCGCTGCGGT